AACATATTCCCAGTATAATTCCAATAACAACTAATAACGAAGTTATGAATGGAACTCGCTTTGTTTATGCCTGAATGCCCTGTGGGCTTCGAGAGCTGTTTCAGAAACTCGAATTTTCGGTACACGTATTGTTCGAAAAGTTCGAAATATTCGTCGTGATTACCTATTCACATACACATGTTCGCCAGGGATTTTGATTTAACAATAGATTCAGTTCGAAGCATTACAGATATGATATAAATATACACCAGAGGATTGCTTGGGTGTTTAAACTTTTCTTGCTCGGCTCTAGTGATGTCTTGATGACAGTTACCAAATAACAATTATTAAGCTTTTGTTGAAGGAATGTGCAGGAAAACATATGTAGATATCTCAAAATATGATAAACTAATTGTTTTTTTAACTGTGCCAATTCCACAAACCAAAAAGGCTAAAGTTTTCGAAAAAGAAAGGGGGTGTTACAACCTTGAAGAGGATTTTTTAATGGTAATGGCTAATCCTTGAAACTGCAAAACGGTGTTTAAAATTAATAATAATTGCAATAGTTAAAAATTATTGAGAACTTCTGGAATCGTTCCCGACTTACATACTACATAAAATGAGGTAAATGGTTGTGGCTCTAATTGGCGTGTCGCCTGCTTTTTTGTCCCGTTTTTTTTTTTGTAAGTTAGGTCAGTCCTACTTTAATTTTCATTGCGGAGACGTGTATTTTATTGTGAAAATTATTTCAAGCGGTCATTTATTTTTTTATATTCTTATTTTGCATGTGGAATGTGTATAAATAGCTTGAATAAACAAATGAACTAATGGACATTGTGGCAACGTATGGAAAAGCTGATGAAAACTACGAGTTTACAAAGTTATCAGTGGTGTCAGTGGTTCCAAACAAGTTTTCATTGTGTCAACGTATTGAAAAATATCCTGTTTGCAAAAAGTATGTCTGCCAATCGAGTCTTCGCACGTCGATTTATTTACTCTTCGAATATCCTTTCCGAGTTAGGTATTTCACTACATTATATGAACACTTCAGTTTCAATTCATGGAAGATGGTTTATTTGTTACCTCCGTGGATATCCATGGAATATACTTATATGCTTGTATCGTTTGTCACTTAATATATTTCAGTGATACTGACAGGAGGATTTGCTATCAAATAAAACTGAAATAACAAAGGGTTCAAAGGGAGAGGTTACAAACAGCCTGACATACGCATGAACAACGCTCAGGCTCAGATTAGTCAGAAGAGACAATTGTATTTTAGAATATTTTTTTTTAATTCGGAAGATATTAATTAAAACAAAGAACATATTTCATGTGAAATTTATTTGAAATTTTTTTTCTGAATTACGTTTGACGATTTCTGAAACGCATTTAATTTAAGTGACATCTGATCATAATTTTGCTGTTGCTTATTAGAGAGCGCCACTTGAGGCATGTCTTTAAAACGTTATAGCTTTTTTGCTTTTCGGTATGTCTGCCTCCATGATATATTTTTTTCATTTTCCTATATTTTCTACGTAAAAAAGATATACCTACTTTCTACTTTGTAAGCAGCTCCACGAGTAACCATTTTCGAAGTATTCGCCATTAAAGTTTCGAATGCAACGAATTTTAAATCATTTGGTGTGTGTATTGTACCTATACTGTTCCAAGGTAGACTTTGAAAAACAAAATTAATAAAAGATGTTTTCAAACTCGGTAGCCGTCAAAAAAAATGGTTGAGAATGAAGGTGAGAATATTATGAAATAGATTTTTTTGTATTATTAAATTCAAAGGCTAACATGAAACTTTTAAAAAATAAAAAAGCAATAAAATACAACTAAATAAATAACAACAAATAAATAATCAACAATTAATTAAAAAAGTTATTCATTTTCTGTAACAACTAACAACAGTGGTTTTCGAAACTTAAAAGGTGAATATCTCGAAAATCGTTACTCGTAGTGATACTTGCCAGGTATGTCTTTTTTATGTACGAGTACAAAATATAAAAAAATTGAAAAATATATAAATATACGTAGAACCAAATAAATTATGATATGCAAGGTGCCGCAAGTAACAGCAAAATTATGATCGGAAATGAATTTGTCACCTCAAAGAAGCTCCCGTCCCCAAAAAATTTGTGTCAAATCTCCAATTTTGAAAAGGTTTTTTAAAAATAATGAAGACAAATTTTTCACTTTGAAACCCCATGTCTTTTTAAGTATCAACTTATGGACTAAGTTTGATTATATCGTAATATTTGTGTATGTAGAATCAGCTGTTGCTCCATGTACCTTTATTTTAGGGACACCCTATATACAGGGTGTCCTCAGTTCGGGTTGCCTATACCTGAAATGGATACAAAATTTCAATTATCAAAAAAAATCATTCTTCATAAAAATTTTTGCTTGTACAAAAGTCATTGGCAAGATAGTCATTTGTTCAATTTAATGTACAGGGTGTTCATAAATTTGGAAAAGGTAATAACAGTAAAGAGTAAAGTACCCTAAATCTTAACGCTACGTGAAAAAGTAACGGGGAAAAGTTGCTAGGAATTAAATTTTATGTTTAAATATGAAAGCATGGCCTTCTAGTTAGTACTCGACATTCTGGGATATTCTAGGACTCTACTTATTTTTTTAATACTTTCGGAGAAGCCATTATATTAAAAAAATATTGCTTTATTAAAAAACAGATACACGTTTTTGCATATTAAAAATTTATTTTTTATACAGGGAGATCAAAAACCTCAAAAGCATTAATCCAACATTTATTTTGAGAACGCAGCAGAATCCGTATGTACGCGCCATCACAAAACTATTCTACATGAAGTCCGCCAGGTTCAACACACCTCTCCAATCTTCTTCTAAATGCAGCGTAGGTCGAATGTATAATTTCTTCATTTATTTGGGCAAAACAGCTTCAATTATCCTGCTTTTCAAGAAATCATCATTTTATTGCTCTGGTTCTCTGTGCACTCTTTCTTTCAAGAAGCTCCAAAGGAAATAATCAAGCGGCGACAAGTCAGGGGACCTTGCTGGCCAACAAATAGGACCATATCTTCCTATCCACTTCTCTCGAAATTTTCTGTTAAGCCAATTGCGGACTAGAATTGTTGAGTGAGCCGGACATCCGTCTTGTTGGAAATACGCTTTTTGTCTATATTCCAAAAGTTCTTCTTCTAATTCTGGCCAAAAAACGTGTCTAGCATCTCCAGGTACGTATATTGATTTAAATTTGCTTAAAAAAAGTATGGCCCAATTATTCGGTTGAAAGTAATCGCGCACCAAACATTTACTTTTTTGAACCTTTGACTTCTCGAAGTAACTGTAAAGGAAGGATTCTCTTGCGACCAAAAACGACAATTTTGCGATGATACCACTCCATTGGTAGAAAAAGTGGTTTCATCGGAAAAAATTATATTTTTGTGAAAATGTCCATCTACCACAATCCTTTCTGCTATGTCTAAACAGAACTCCAAACGATGTGCATCTTTACCAACTTCTAGAGCAGGGGTCGGCAAGTAATTTTAAGTGGGGTCCGGATACATTTGAAAATTTTTAATGAGGTCCAGAAAAAAATTCATATTTCTTATTTTTTTATTTTAATTTTGACTCAAATTTAATCTGCTTACTAACCATTAAGAACTCACACACTTACACAATTGTAAAATACTAGAAAACATTTTTTAAATAATTTATTTGAGTAATTTATACTTCCAAAAAATTTTTGGCGGTCCAGTATTTTACTTTCCGCGGTCCGGACCTGGACCGCGGTCCGCCAGTTGCCGACCCTTGTTCTAGAGTGTGAATTACTTTTGGTTTGAAAGCCTTAAACTTATTTTCTAGAATGTCGAGTATTAACTAGAAGGTCATGCTTTCATATTTAAACATAAAATTTAATTCCAAACAAGTTTTTCCCATTACTTTTTCACGTAGCGTTAAGATTTAAGATGCTCTTCACTGTTTTTACCTTTTCCAAATGTTTGAACACCCTGTATATTAAATTAAATAAATGACTGTCTTGCCAAGGGCTTCTGGACAAGCAAAAATTTTTATGAATGATTTTTTTGACAATTGAAATTTTGTATCCATTTCAGGTATAGGCAACCCGGCAACAGGTACTGGGAACACCCTGTATCTTTTAAATTTTTTTCTGGAATAACGTTTGACGAATCTTAAAATACGTTTGATATTTTCTGAATACAAATACAATTGAGACTCTTTGAAATTCATTTGGAAGGAATGTAGAGTTTTATGAATAAAAAACAGTAGTTGGTAAGTTTGTCTACTGATAATGTTGATATCTACAGTATTATGAATAAAACAAAAGAAAGTAAACGAGTTTCTGTAATGTCCTATTTTAAAAAATTCCTATTGTAGCAAGTTTGCTGTAACTTACCATAAACAAGCAAGCAGTATAACTAGTGTTAACGACTAAAGATAATGTTAAGAATATATTTAATAAGGCAATGTAAAAGAATTGATAGTAAATAAGAGCGAATGTTGATCTTTGCTCGAAGTCACATTTATTATTATTCTGTGATAAACATTTCACGATCAGTGGAAGATTTTGGGTACCTACACGCTAATAAATCAAGGGTAGCGTCCCTATGGGCATGTGTAGGCATTCCCTTCAAAAATGACATTTAACGTAAGGGGTGTCATCAATTAAGCCCGACGCAAAAATCAATACCGCGGCGTTCTCTAATCAGGTACGTTGTAGCGTTATTTGAATTACATCACGATTTGAACGGTAAAATCGAGTGTTAGCATACACCATTATCAGCAGTAACATCCTGTAAAAAGTCGATAAATTAGGACCGGAACGACGGAGCTAGCGTAAACAGCCGCGCGTTACCCTTTCTGCGAAAGAAATTACGACAATAAACACCCGACCAGTCCGTCGTGGTCCTGGCGAAGGAAATATCGCCCCTGAAGGTGACATTGACCCAATAACAGGTGGGTGCTGTGGCGATTTAAGTAAAAAAAAAAACGTGGATAAAGAGTACACTCACCAGCTGTAGCCGTTGGCAACTCACTGCATGTCCGCGCCAACGTCTCCAACGACGAACAACGGAATCTGTTTTGTCAAAATTGACTGGAGGGCGAATTTAACGACGGACCAGCCGTCCAAGATTCACTGGTTGTTTTGAGGCTGTGTGGCGAGGCGACGCCAGGCGCCGGCGCCCACGTCGAGTGCGAAGGCGTATCGTAGGTTGAAAAATCGATTATTTCAAGGGATATCCGCCGGTTTAAATATTACGGGTCGTTCGGATCTCGCTACCTTACCGCGAACGGCTTCCTTAACCGCGTCTACTGAATCACTTTTCGTGGTCTACTACGAACACCTACCGCAAGGCGCAATCCGGAGCGTTTTCAGCCAATTGTACGTAGTGGATAATTCGAGGCTTATCTCGAGACCTCTGCGTTGGTAATTGGCTGATAACGATTAAATCTAGTGATTAACGCCATGTTATTGTACGTAATTCTTCTCTGCGACGTGTTAGGCTCTCGCTTTTATGGGACCGTTTTTATTTATCGCGTATATCTGTTGATATTCGTCCCCAGCGTTGTATTAAACCCTGCCATATGGTCAATCTAGTAATATCTGGGGAAATAATGTAGTAGGATTCCTGTTAAGATTTCATACGGCTTCAACAAGTGGTTTGTGGGTCACTAAATCTTGATAAAGGGTCGTATCGAATTGTTTTCTACCTAAACGAATATAAAACCCTGAAGGTACAAAGGGGTCTTACATATGTGAATATTTTATGGGATATCGTGATCCATGATTGGTTTTTGATTTTGTCAATCTAGGACAATATTTCTTTATACAGGGTGAACCTTAAATGTGTTTATGTTTTATACAACAGTACAATTTGCCGTGTTAAAATTAGGAATAAAAGTCAAATTGAAAACCTGTGATTTTTTAATAGGAAACTTGTTGAGAAGCCCTGATTTCACTGTAACTACTCTAGCGTTTACGCATAACGTAGACCAGCTATGCAGTATACAGGGTGTCTCATAATTAGCTGCCAACCCTGAACAGGCCGATTCTATGATCAAAACTAAGTAAAAAAGTTCATATGAACATGGGTCCGGAAATGCTTCCTAAGGGCACAGGGACCCATTGAAGAGGGAGGAATGGAAATCATTTTTTTGCAATATCTCTCAATCGCGTTGTGATAAATGAATGAAATTTGGTATACACAGCTAAATTTTGATGAGCAATTTGATGGACTAATCCATTTATTTCCACAAGGTCCATTGGGGTGGGTACGGGGGGGCCCTTGGTACTTTGCGTGTGTAACTTTTTCATCTTTGACTTTTTAACAAATTGGACAGCAAATTCCGTTTTCCCGAACTGTTTTACGTTAAAAAGGTACTCTTGTTTCAAATCGTTATCTTTAACGGTTTCTGAGAAAATCGCTCTTGAATTAATCCCACTTTGGTCAATTTCATAGTAATTTAAACAAAAAATAATAATAATAATTTTCCTTTCCTCTCTTTTCCATTTAAAGGATTAATTTTTATTTAATTTAATTTTTTATTATTATTTTTTTATTAAAATTAGATTAAATTTAAACAAAAAAATTTTTTTTGTTTAAATTACTATGAAATTGACCAAAGTGGGATTAATTCAAGAGCGATTTTCTCAGAAACCGTTAAAGATAACGATTTGAAACAAGAGTACCTTTTTAACGTAAAACAGTTCGGGAAAACGGAATTTGCTGTCCAATTTGTTAAAAAGTCAAAGATGAAAAAGTTACACACGCAAAGTACCAAGGGCCCCCCCGTACCCACCCCAATGGACCTTGTGGAAATAAATGGATTAGTCCATCAAATTGCTCATCAAAATTTAGCTGTGTATACCAAATTTCATTCATTTATCACAACGCGATTGAGAGATATTGCAAAAAAATGATTTCCATTCCTCCCTCTTCAATGGGTCCCTGTGCCCTTAGGAAGCATTTCTGGGCCCACGTTCATATGAACTTTTTTACTTAGTTTTGATCATAGAATCGGCCGGTTCAGGGTTGGCAGCTAATTATGAGACACCCTGTATAGAACTTTTCATATCTAACTATTTCTTAAATAACATAGGAAAATAAATTAGCATCTTCTTATACATCAGTTAAACTTTGAAATATCTCTAAAGATATTTATAAAACCAATCACCGCTCTATAGGATGTCCCAATATCCTGTGTATATGGAGCTATCGCAATTTCCTGTGACCAAAATAAGCAGATTTGACTAAATTGGCTATTTCTTTAGTTGCCTCGTTTAGCCGCTGGGAGTATCAAAGTTGAAAAAAAAAATGTTTTTTCAGAGAACTTTGAAATGCCTCTTAAGATGATTTTATTGAAATTTGGTACACTAATACTTGTGACATAGTAAACGAGGTCATTGGATTAACAAGACTGTGAAAAATATCCCGCCTTTTGCCGGATTCTATTCTATTTTGTCTTAAAGATGGAATTTTTTTTCCCCTCTTGTAAAATCTGAGTACCAGCACTAATGCATTTTCAATACAACCTGACATAATTACGTCATTTCAGAAGTAATTTATTTGATAACAGAAATGAAATAACGTATTCTAATTTACAAATTGTTCTCGATGATGCAAAATAAAAGACATAATTTATGATTGTCATTATTTTCACGATTTGTCACTAATAAATTATTAGTTTCAATGGTCTTACAATTGGTTATTCAAACAAGAAGATGAACAATAGATACAGTTTTGACTAACAAAGAGATACTTTATTAATTCTAGATTTTTACGAAGGAAACTAATGTAGGAGTATGCCTGTGCATCATGAAAGATATCCAAATCGTCGAATCTTAAATCACCAAACTTTCAGAAGTATTGTAAGACGTTTTCGAGAAATTGGTCACCTTGAAATTAACAGAGGTAATGCGGATGTTCCCATCAAGTTCGAATACCTACCCATTGTGGAAGATGAAATTCTGGAAATGGTGGAACAGAACCAGACAACCAGTGCCAGATTAATACTGAAACAGACTATAGTTTCCAAAAGTACAGTGAATTAAGTTCATCCTTTTCATGTTCACCCAGTTCAGCAACTTCCACCTCTGGGTCCTGCCATTCGTCATCAATTTTCGCAGATCAGTCAATATGGAATTGGAAACTGAAGATATGAACTTCCACAAGAAAATTCTTTTTACGAACTAATCGTATTTTACGGAACGCGAGATAATAAACCTCCATAACCAGCATGTTCCCTATGTAGTTATGGAAAGACATTCTCAACGTGAATTTAGTATAGTCTATAAACGTATGAGTTGGTTTTATCAGGTTTGATCTCATTAGATTTTCTGCAAAATACACCAATACGATGCTCCGATTTACACGTTCACCTGATTTAAATACCTGTGATTTTCTGATTTGGGGGGGCTTAGAACAGGAATATTATAATATTATGTGAGTGTTAATAATGAGAAACAACTGTGACAGGATTGTCGATGCTGTTCGCAATTTGCAAAATGAAGGAATACTGATTAGAGCGAATTTTAATCTTTTTTGTGGAATTAATTTATGCAACTTCTGTCGTTTTCCTAATAATCCAGAACTATTGCAGCTTGAACATTATGTAGTGTGTATACACTCCATCTTCACATCATTCATTTCATTATGCAAAACAACTTTAGTTCAAATCTGACACAATAATTAAGGTTACGTTCGCTTTTAGACTTTACATACTTAAACTGACTTTAAGCACCATATGTAAATATGGAAATTATAGGTTTCAACCTAAATAAATCTCTGTTTGCATAATACGAATCAATATAGTACAAATTTTTTTAGATGACGTCTTGCGCAGACAGGAAGTTATTTTGTTTTTAATTTCGAATCGTAAATGCATTATCAGTTTAAAAAAAATAATATACCCAGAAATATTGTAAATACCTACAATAATTTTTCAAGAGAAAAACATTTTTAATAAACACTATCTTCAAGACAAAAAAATTGAAGCTATTGCATTGCTTTTTTAAGTCTGTTAATTCTATTACTTTGTTTACTGTCACAAAGTGACATTCAATGGAAGTGTTGTTTAGTGTACCACAAAATTTCAATAAAATCTTACAAAGCGTTTGGAAGTTGCCTTAAAACAAATATATAATTTATCTTTGATGCCCTCATTGCCCTCTAGCGGCTAAACAAAGCAACTTGGGATAGAGGTAACTTTAGTTAAATTCACTTATTTTGATTGCAGGAAACTCTGGTAACTCTGGTAGCTCCATGTACACGGAATATTGGGACATTAGGTAGCGAGTTTTCTGTGATGGCATAGTTTATGAAATCATTGTTTTCTGTTACATTTAATTTTAGGGTAGGAAGTACGAGAAGATTTTTGTATAATACTAACATTATGTGAGTAACTAAATATTATAATATTTAGTTACTCATATGACTAACACGAACCATAATAATTCGATGGTATGATAAATGAAATGATGTATCATCAATATGATATTAATTCTCCGTTCATCTATTTTAGCAGTTACCTACCATAGAATTTAAAATACTGGTTGTAGCAGTTTTATGACGTTTTGCGAGTTTTACGAGTATTGTTCATTGTTTTATGTCGGCAGAATTGCTAAAATTAAATGGAAAATATACAGGGTGTCCCAAAAGTGACGCCCGTCCTTCTGGGTTTTGATCAAGGGGACAAAAACAAATCGAAAATCAAGAGTGGAAAATTTTCCGATTGTTTTTCTTTGTTGAGTAATTAAAAAAATTATTCAAAAAACTAACAATAAACATTTGGACTGGGTTATTAAATAATTATGTAGTTCAAAGCTGTATTTGCTGCAGCTGCCATTGCTGAATGACGTTCCGTTAGCAGTTAGACTAAATTATTGGTTTCAACATGACATTATCGTTTACGAGTATGAAATTATCTGAATCAAAACTTCTCAGACAGATGGATCGGAAAAGGGGGACCATGACCTCGTAGATCACCAGATCTGCATTCCCTTCTTTTGGGGTTATTTAAAAGTAAAGATTTACAGCGAACCTGTTGTAAATCCAGAAAATGTATAAGCCGGTATACACGCTGCTGTCGCGTTTAATAAACCAAGAGATGTTATAAAGAGTTCATGCTTCAATGTTGAATCGTGATAATCTTTGTCTTGAAGTAGAAAGCAACTTATTTGAACACCTTTTGTAAAAACAATTTCTATTATTTAAGCACATTATGGATTTAGTTTATAAGTTTTTTCCTCTCTATTTTATAAAACTGTTTAATTATTAAAATTATTTGTCCGAGATAAAAAAATGGATTTTAATTTTTTTAGATTTTTGAATAATTTTTTCAATAACTCAAGAAAGAAAAACAATCGGAAAATTTTCCACTCTTGATTTTCAATTCTTTTTTATCTCCTCATTCAAATCCCAGAAGGACGGGCGTCACTTGTGGGACACCCTGTATATGCTTGGTTTTTTGAATGGTGAAGTAGTTACCGGTTGTCGCTCTTCCATATGTTTCATATTCAAGGAACAGTCCCGTGTCCGGCCATAGGTTCATTCATTCTTTCATTGCTAAAGTCCGTAGGCATTGATAAAGTACCGCGATCGACTGCCATTTTGGGCTAAAATCCCTACTGCCAAGTGCCAACATTGGAATGCAGATTTGAATTTCCACATTTTTACATATCTTGAACAGTTTATTATGTACTAACACAATTTTTTGATTTAAAATAGGTGCAGCAAATTAAATTTTGGTAGTTTTTTTATATACATAGATAATACAAACTGATGTAGGTGCTATTCACAATAAATTTGCTCTTTCGTGAAAAATCATATTTCGGTCATTTTCAACGAAATTCTACATCTCTGCTCTAAATTTCCTATAATGAAAAATACATTTAATAGTTGAGTCAATCTGACATATTTGATGTTTCCCTGTGGATAAGGCACGATTTTCAAAAGTGAAATTTGAGGGGAACATCAGATATTGTCTGAGAGTAACCATTACACTCACTAAACATAATATTAGGTCACATAATAAAAATACCCAGTACGGCAGCTGTAAGAGTTTATTTGTTTTAAGCATTTTATTTTGATACTAACTCCAAACTAATAATAGAAACCCACTACTATGCTAATTACGCATGGACGTAACAAACTCATTCCGGAAAAAATGTCAGATTAGACAGGAACTCTGAAAATCAGTGTTTCTGGGAAACTCTATGGCCTGGCACCCGTCAGAAGCTGTTTGAGAGTGAGTACCATGTTCGCCGGTTCGATTAAGTTAATTGAACACTTAAAACATAAATATTAGGTCACATAATAAAAATACCCAGTACGGCAGCTGTAAGAGTTGATTTCTTTTAAGCATTTTATATTGATATTAACTTAAACTAATTATACATTTACATAACAAATTCATTCCTGAAAAAAAAACGTGCGATTCGACGGGAATTCTGAAAATCATTGTTTTTGGGAAACTGGCCTGGCACCCATCAGCTGTTTGAGAGTGAGTACCATGATCTCCGGTCACATAAAACAAAAATTACGTCACATAATAAAAATACCCAGTACGGCAGCTGTAAGAGTTGATTTTTATTAAATCATTTTATATTGATATTAACTCCAAACTAATAAGATTCGAAACTATATGGCCTGGCACCCATCAGAAGCTGTTTGAGAGTGAGTACCATGATCTCGGGTCAGATTAAATTTATTGAACACGTAAAACATAAAAATTACGTCACATAATAAAAATACCCAGTATGGCAGCTGTAAGAGTTGATTTCTTTCAGGCACTGCAAGAACTGCAGCTAGAAATTGTTTCACAAACCCGAGATTTTATTATTGTTCCATAAAGGTCTCTGTTAACGCGCAAAGCCCAGAAATGCGCGCTGATATATTTTAAATATTTTAAAATTTAAAATACTCTGCAGCGAAATTAAAATAGTAAATATATAAAATATTACTTTTGTGGCCTAATCTGGAATTTCAAATATTTGAATAAAGTATACTTACTCTTCACTTAATTAATTAAGACGGTTCTATAGCAAATAGGCAAATAGCAATACATTTTTATAGATTTTATTACACAGTTTGTCTAAATATGAATCAATGCACAAATAACAGACTTTCCTCCATTCTAACATAGATTTTCTATAAAACGGACTTGGTTTGAAACAGAAATTGCACTTTGGTGTAAAGAAATTTGTAATTTTCTTGTTCAAAAGCGGCAAATTACAAATTTCTTTGCAACAAAACGTAATTTGAGTTTCAGACCAAGTCCGTTTTATAGAAAATCTACGATAGAATGGAGGAAAGTCTGTCGTTTGTGCATTCATTCATATTCAGACAAACTGTGTAATAAAATCTATAAAAATGTATTGCTGGTTGCCTATTTGCTATAGAGCCCTTTTAATTTCCAATTTCTTTTAGTTGCAGTTTCTTAGGGTCCAATTCCTACGTTTCAGCTTCAGTTCTACCGTCACGCAAGGATTCCTCATCGCTCGGGGGAAACGACAAAAACTCCAAAGTGCATAAATTGAAAATATATTTACAATTTTCACAAGTTACAACAACACATACAATTTGTACTTAAAACTATAAAAACAATAACAGGCAAGATACAAACAGCCTAGCATTTAAATTGACCTTTTTTTACACCAACTCGCAAGCGATAAACAATTTTATTTACAAATATATCGGCTATATGTATAATATTCTGCTACACGTGAACTTTTGGCACAGTATCATTAACTAACACCCTTGTTTCTACGCGACACGGCTAGACAACCGGAAGAAACTTACGAATGACCACACTAGATGGCGACTCTCCCTGGATTCTATTGCACCAGCGCCATCTGTTGTTTTCATCGGTAAGTTCCACCGGTTATTCGACTGCATCGGATATAAACAACGCTAATACTGCATACAAAGAAAAAAAAAGAGAAACTCCATAAACGTCAACTTGTGAACAGTAAAGCAATAATTAATTTCAATTCAGAATAAAATTATAATTATATACACGTCGCCTAAACTCTATTTTGTTTTATCACAAATTTAATTGCTTCAAATTGGAATTACTTTAGGATCACAATACACTTAAAGAAGCAAACTGAAAGATCAGTAACGGGTAAATGCGCTCCTCGCGATGCACCTGCTCGTCCTCTAGAAATCATATTTCCAACTCTACATCTCCTAAAACGAAAAACAAAGCATCGGATCAACAACACTTCCATAATAAATTAAATTGAATGCACAACTATTGCACATTTATACTAGTAGTAGAATCAGTCTGACGTATTTGATGTTTCCGTAAGGGTTAAGGCACGTCGGGCGGTCCTCAAACGTGAGATTCGAGGGGGACTTTGAAAACCGTCGTTTCGGGGAAACTCTGCGGCCTGGCGCCCATCAGGTGCTGCCTGAGGGCCACCACCATGTTCTCCGGCCCGATCAGGTTGATCTCGAACAAGAGACGATCCCTTCTGGTCGAGCTTAAGTCCGGCGAGCTCGTCCTAAGATTCTTCTCCTTCGCGTTTTCCGCGTCGGCGTCGTTTTCCTCCTGGCTCTTGTTATCGCGCAGCCAGGTCACCTTGTCGGGGTCCTTGGTGCCCCCGACGGTGTGCCGCCTCTTGATGGAACGGTCCGGCATCCCGTTCTTCCTCTTATGCTTGGTCGAATCTTTGCCGCGTTTGGAGATCGAGAGTTCGCGGCGTTTGTTGATGTTGCTCTCCGTCTTCTCGGTTTTCGTTAGGCTGTCGGACCTTTTCAGTTTATCTCCGGTTTTGTTCAGGCTCTCCGACCGCTTCAGCTTATTGTTCAACGGAGAGCCCGTCCTCTCGGGCTTGTTTAAGGACTCGGATCGCTTCAGTTTCGCGCCGGTGGCCGTTTGGTTCTGGTTCAACTTGTTAGTCTTAGAGATTAGCGTTAGCTTGTGTGGTGCAATGTGTCTATCATTATCAGGTACGTTTTCGGAAGCCCAGGTGTCTTCCTCTTTCTCTCTGTCCTTTTTGGATTCCTTGTGCAACACATCCTCCTTATACGACTTCGACGAGGTGCTGAATTGGCTTTTATGTAAACTAGGGTTTCTGTACAAATCACTAGCCCTTGGCGTAATTTCCTTGTCCAAATACGAAGATTTATTGGCGTGTTTTTCTGGCGATTCGTCCGCGAAAGGGATGTCCTCTCCAGCCAAAAGGGAAGGGTGGGTATGCTCCTCCTTCAATTTTTCGTCTATGAGCTTGGTCATTGTACTTAGTAAAGACTCTGTAAAAAAGAAACAGACTGTTATCTTAAGGATTATACACAAGCGATAGGTGTAATTAGTAAGATGAATCATTTTGAACATGTCTATGTATTTCTCATGAAGTGTGCCGTTTAGTATAAATTCAGTAGGTACATTATGTAAATACAATGAGTACAATAAAAAATAAGATAATTTTTATTCGCGACCATGCACGAATTCACTCGCTGCCACACGTCACACACCCATCACACACATACAGATTCACGCTATAAGGAAACTATGTGAATTAATTTTTGGTGACTAATAGTCTTTTAACCACAAACTAAACACTAAACACTTAAACTAGCATGTCCACAGTATTATTTTGTCTCATTCTATTAAAATGTGTGACTTATATATACATCATCAAAATACGAAAACACACACATATACACAAATACGACACATCGTCCATGCACATTAAATTTACAAGTACATTCACTGAAACATTGACTTTTCTCTTTCACACATGTATACTCAGTCAATTACACAAATTACACTATGTAATACGGGTAGACAATACATATTTTTTATTGTTCAGATATGCGTGAGATATATAGTTCTATAACGGTGATCACACATGCAAGATTGAACTTTAATTTTTAAAAAATATTCAACATTGTCACATTGTATGTATACGGATGTCACACCAACCAATTTTTTATTTCCTGTTTGGAATTCTTATCGAAATTTGATAGTGACTAAATTTTTTTAATTAATATAAACAAATTTATAAAACACATTTGCACATTACTGTTGTAATTTTAGGCAGAAATTCATAATTCTCATTTATGCAATGAAATATAATAAAACTGTACAGGTATGATTCTCTCCTGGCGCGATTTGATGCTATTATTGCATTTTATTCAGTAATCAACTATTCAAAATATATCTATAAAATATTCATATATAGGTATATGAATTGTTTGTATGTATGTGTGACTATGTATATGTGTGCTGTTTGTATTGTGACGGTGACAGTGTGTGTATGTGTGTGACAAATAGAATAGAAAATTTAAAAACAAATACAGGACTGTTAAAACTAGATATCCTCAAAAAAAGATGCAATAAAATATAATAAAAATGTAAAAATATGATTCTCTCCTGGCGATATTGATGCTATCATTGCATTTTCTTCAGGAATCAACTATTCAAAATATATCTATGAAGTATTCATATTTAGGTATCCTTTATATGTATGTGTGGCTATGTATGTGCCATGTGTGTGCTGTTTGTATGTGTGACGGTGACAGTGTGTGTATGTGTGTGACAAATAGAATAGAAAATTTACAAGATAAATACAGGACTGTGAAAACTAGATATCCTCAAAATAAACATGCAATAAAATATAATAAAAAAGAAAAGGTATGATTCTCTCCTGGCGATATTGATGCAATTATTGCATTTTCTTCAAGAATCGACTATTCAAAATATATTTATGAAGTATTCATATTTAGGTATTTGAATTGTTTATATGTATGTGTGTGCTGTCTGTATGTGTGACAATGACAGTGTGTGTATGTGTGTGACGAATAGAATAGAAAATTTACAAAATAAATACAGGACTGTGATATTCTCAAAATAAACATGCAATAAAATATAGCACTATGTAACATATCTGTTTTGACTATTTCTGAACTGTAAAAATAACTGATTCAGTAAACTTTACATTCGATGTATATATTTATGTATGTCACTATTGAATAAACAATTCTGCATGCATATTGTACATTTATAGTGTATATACATGAGATTATCTTCGAGAATTTCAGAATTTATATATAGTCAATTTCTTATTAGATAAGGTTTGTATGTGAATTCTCTATAACAATATTATTTATGAACAATAAACATGCACATGGTTCATTATGTCAAAACAAACAAAATAAATATTCTTTGACGATGAATGTAAATGCAGACTTTAGACTTTCAAATAATTAGTATACACGATTATTAAAGTTACTTTTAGAAGAACCAGTAGCATGCATTTCGTAACCCGACGTTTTTTTCCATCTAGACGATAAATGCATTATACTCGCTAGTAATATTTTACAAACTTCTCTCGATTAATAAAAAGAATCCAAGTAACATTCTCACAACTAAACACATACACTAGAAGCAACTGAAAATTATCCACAATGAATTGTTATATTATTAATAGAACATCGAGTATTAATCTGATTAATGATGTAGCGGAGCTGTGCGTTTATCAACAGTTAAGCGAAGCCAAAGGTTGCGAAGCGTTTTTTCGTGTGCGCACAGCTTTCTACCTCTTTCTATAGTCTGTTGTACATATGGCGAGTTCTAGGGGGCCTCTGTGGGGCAGTGGTGGGGGGTCTCACCGACCGCCAACCTCTAATCGGAGGCATAGGGGTACTATTTCCTAATATCCAATTTAGTATTAATCAAGGGTAATAATTAGACTTCTATTTTAATATTTACAAGTAAGTATTTATGGAAAAAACGACTAGATTAAATGTTTATATAGATATATGAAAGAGGGCGCTACTTACCATCATCGTTCGGCAGTTTGTTCAAGGAATCCAAAGAACCGGTCCTCTGGCTTTCATTCTGCAACAAATTAAATTTTGATTATTTTATGACGTAAGTAGTGAAGTACTGGGTGTACCGAAATTATTACAAAAAAATTTGGTCACAGAGAGTTGGCGATATGCATTCAATCAAATTTTGACATTTTTCTCGAAAACATTGTGTACGAAAAAAGTATCAAGAGACCAAAAAGTTTCTAAATTCAATGGTTTTCTAGCGGACTAATAATTTTTAAGAAATTCAAATATACAAACAAAATTTTTTGGTTCCAAAGACAAGGGGGCCCACCAGAAAGCGTAGCACTATCAGATTCCACATGTCATAAAACCATGGTGTATCAAATTTAGTGATTCTCATACAACAGGGTTCTGAGATATAAAAAGGACTATTCTTAGGGGCGGATTTCAGGGGGCCGTAACTCCGAAAGAGGGGGCCACTTGGCAAAAATAAAAAATATATTTAAAAAAAATTGAATGCTGAACAAATATTTTTGAATGAATGAATTAGTGAAGACTAAGACTTTATAGGGTTTTAAAACTGAAAAAAAAATACTTTTGTTCTTTCAACTTCTAGAACACTCATTTGGGTAAAAAGTGCATTTTCATTGGTTCGAAATTTATATGTAGGTGAAATACAACCAACAAAATATGTCGTATCTCAATGCCTACTGACAAAAATCATTACTTCGTATCTGCTGACAGAGAGCAACCTACCAATTTTGTAGGTACAACGAAAGTAACAAAGAGAAACAAGTAATCTTAGTTGTTTACTAAATACTGTGAGTGTTATTCAGAATTGGACAGGACTATAATCCACAGAGTAGTTTCCCCTCATTAGCTAATAATTGTGCAAATTATTATTTAAAACTTTTTGTAAATATTCTGTAGCAAATGTCTGTCTACTTTTTCACATATGTATATTTCACACCTCTTTATATATTTCACTCTGCAGCTACAGTACTGACCCTTTTTTGATTACAGAGCTCGCTATAATGAGAAATAAAGAAAGGATAACACGTATCCTTAATCATAAACAAAAGAGAGTTAAACACTGCACTGCTGTGTATATTTAATTTTTCATCTAGCGGTAAAAAAAAAAATAACCAGCAACATATATCTTCCTATTCTTCTGGACAACAAAAATAACTTTTTAAAATGTTTAAAACAAAGTGTCTGTACAGGGATAACTTTTTCAATTATTCTTAATTAGATTCATTTACAGATTATTTTTGTTTTTTTTTTGAGGTCAGAGTCCATAATATGATGGACTAAAGACATAATATTAATTTATGGGGAATATTGTCCAAATACGGTGGCATTGTACATCATTGAAAGTTTCTCTAATCAAGTTTATTCTCAAGTATTTGTACGAGTAGTTCAAATGTACAAGGATACTGATAATGTACGGGTACACTATGGAAGACAACACATTTTGGATGTAGATTTAATGATAAACATGTTCAATCACTGGTTCAAAGGATCCAGAAAAAACGTCGCATGTACCATCCATACCACGTTCAACGGGTTCAAGCTTTAATGTCATGATGGTGGTATCGAATTTTGCAATCACTGGTTTTTAGAGCAACCTGAATGCGATGACAATTTTTTAAGAGGGATCTATAGCAAATAGCACAGCAATACATTTTTAAAGATTCTATTACACAGTTTGTCTGAATATGAATTAATGCACAAATAACAGACTTTCCTCCATTCTAGCGCAGATTTTCTATAAAATGGACTTAGTTTGAAACTTAAATTACGTTTTGTTACAAAGAAGGTTGTAATTTGCCGCTTTTGAACAAGTGGCATCGTAAATTACAAATTTCTTTACACCAAAAAGTTATTTGGGTCTTAAATGAAGTCCATTTTATAGAAGATCTGCGTTAAAATGGGGGAAAGTCTGTTATTTGTGCATTAATTCATATTTAGACAAACTGTGTAATAAAATCTATAAAAATGTATTGCTGGTTGCCTATTTACTATAGAGTCCTCTTAAGATCAATTATGGTAATGGACGATGTTTTGTTTACACATAATTAATAATTTTCAGAACACGCATGTTCAGGCAAAAAATTGAAAATCCTCATACTGTATGGACTCAAATGTGTGAGGTAAGCATTTTGAACAGGATCTTTATTAGAATATATATTTAGTAAATATTTACTATTACTGAAATCGCTCAAAATGTCACAAAAATTTGTTTTAACTTGGAAAATGTCTGATTATGAAGTCAGTTCCTCAAGGGAAAAAAATGTCAAGAATTCACTCGTTTCGGCGCCTTAAAGTGGAAAATGTCGGATTATGAACTCGGAAATTAATTATAAACCCTAATTTGTTAAAAAAAAAATGTGAATAAAATTTTAAAAATACAAATAACACTCACATTTCATCTTCTCAGGATTTTACTCGTTTCGTCGCCTTAAAGTGGAAATTTTCTGATTATGAACCCAGTAAATTAATTATAAACCTTAATTTGTTGAAAAGTAGATGTAACAATGAAAAAATGTGAATAAAGTTTTAAAAACTACTAATTTCATTCTCACATTTAATTTTATCAGGAATTTACTCGTTTCGTCGCCTTAAAGTGGAAAATTTCTGATTATGAACTCAGTAAATTAATTATAAACCATAAATTGTTAAAAAGTAGATGTATCAATGAAAAAAATGTGAAAAAAATTTAAAAAAAAATACTAATATCATTCTCACATTTAATTTTCTCAGGAATTTACTCGTTTCATCGCCTTAAAGTGTAAAATTTCTGATTATGACCTCAGTAAATCAATTTGTTAAAAAAATAGATGTAACAATGAAAAAGTGAATAAAATTTAAAAAAATACAAATATCATTCTCACATTTTTTCAGGAATTTACTCGTTTTGTCGCCTTAAAGAGGAAAATTTCTGATTATGAACTCAGTAAATTAGTTATAAACCCTAAATGGTTAAAAAATAAATGTAACAATGAAAAGAAATAAAATAAAAAAATACATCAATTTAATTTTCTCAGGAGTTTACTCGTTTTGTCGTCTTAAAGTGGAAAATTTCTGATTATGAAGTCAGTAAATTAGTTATAAACCCCAAATTGTTAAAAACTAAATGTAACAATGAAGAAAAATATGAATAAAATTTAAAAACTACTAATTTCATTCTCACATTTAAGGGCCCCATATTCTTTAAATAGTGTTTTCCGCAAAGACAAATAATTTCAAACATTTAATAACTGAATAATCTAGAGCTTATCATATAATAGGAATGTTATGTCATGCCATCTGGTTATTTTCAAAGACGCCGCAGTAAAACGAATAAACAGGTGCAAAAAACGATCAAACCATCAAGGTTTTAGGTACTGAAATCTTCGAAAATACTAACTATTTTATATATAATTCCACATGTCAATATTCTTATAACATTTACTTGCTTAGTCCTACATATAAAATTGTTTACTTTTATTTATAAGTACGTGAAAATAATTCTTAAAATTTGGGGTTAGAATAACAGCAAACGCATGTTTTACAAACGCTTTTTTTTAGTTATTATTTTATTTGAGTAAATTTAAATGGTAACAATGAATAAACAAAACATCAAGGATTTTATTTTTGTGCTTACTTTTGTTCTACACGTTTTACTTTCAAAGATTTCAGTACCTAAAAACGCCAGAAATTTCACTATTTCTCGGCCGGGAATATGGCCACCTTAATTTTCTCAGGAATTTACTCGTTTTGTCGCCTTAAAGTGGAAAATGTCTTATTATGAATTCGGTAAATTAGTTATGAACCCTAAATCATTAAAAAATAAATGTAACAATGAAAAAAATGTCAATAAAATTAAAAAAAAATACTAATTTCATTCTCACATTTAATTTTCTCAGGAATTTACTCGTTTTGTTGCCTTAAAATGGAAAATGTCTAATTATGAACTCAGTAAATTTGTTATAAACCCCAAATTGTTAAAAAATAAATGTAACAATGAAGAAAAATGTCAATAAAATTAAAAAAAAATACTAATTTCATTCTCACATTTAATTTTCTCAGGAATTTACTCGTTTTGTCGCCTTAAAGTGGAAAATGTCTTATTATGAACTCAGTAAATTAGTTATGAACCCTAAATTGTTAAAAAATAAACATAACAATGAAAAAAAAATGTGAATAAAATTAAAAAAATACTAATTTCATTCTCGCATTTAATCTTCTCAGGAATTTACTCGTTTCGTCGCCTTAAAATGGAAAATGTCTAATTATGAACTCAGTAAATTTGTTATAAACCCCAAATTGTTAAAAAATAAATGTAACAATGAAGAAAAATGTGAATAAAATTTAAAAACTACTAATTTCATTCTCACATTTAATTTTCTCAGGAATTTACTCGTTTTGTCGCCTTAAAGTGGAAAATGTCTAATGATGAACTCAGTAAATTTGTTATAAACCCCAAATTGTTAAAAAATAAATGTAACAATGAAGAAAAATGTGAATAAAATTAAAAAATACTAATTTCATTCTCACATTTAATCTTCTCAGGAACTTGCTCGTTTCGTCGCCTTAAAGCGGAAAATTTCTGATTATGAACTCGGTAAATTAATTATAAACCCTAATTTGTTAAAAATTAGATTTAATATTAAAAAAAATGAATAAAATTAAAAAAATACTAATTTCATTTTCACATTTAATCTTCTCAGGAATTTACTCGCTTCGTCGCCTTAAAGTGGAAAATGTCTGATTATGAACTCAGTAAATCAATGATTTGTTAAAAACTAGGTGTAACAATGAAAAAAAATACAAATAAAATTAAAAACCTACTAACCTCATTCTCATACTTAATCTTCTTCATGTTCCCATTAGAGAGGTCCACAGAGCTGGAATTGACGTTCTCCACCGAGCTGCCCCTCCTCACATTACACCTACCCCTCCTGTCACAAGCACCTCCATCCGTAACATCACTATAAGCACCCTTATTGAAGGCACCGCCGGCACTAACGTTCGAGTTCTTGCTCGTACCGCTCACGTCCGAGAACTGTTTCGTACCGCTAGCACTCATATACCGATAACTGCTATCGTTTAAATCACTCTTATCCCCGACGTTCTTGCCGGGGTATTGCACGATGGAGAACGTGTTGGTATCCATTGAATTCAGACTGTTCCTGTTGTCGGCGATGGTCGCCCGGGCGAACACGTTGGAGGCGCTGTGCGTCTTCGTGAGTAGGTGCAGGTCGGCCGGCTTCATCGACAGCCTCACGTTCTGGTTGACGTTGCTGGCGGAGGAGCTTAGTTGCCCCGCGGGTCGGGAATCTGTAAGAGGGAACACGGGTTGATGCGCAGACGGTACGGGTTAAAACGTGTACTTTACCTATATTGTTAATAGATATTTCCGTCTTTCTAGGCAATTGAAGCATCGCCTCGGTTTCCTGCTTGAAGTTTTGGATTCTCCTGTGGAAGTCGTCCTTGTCGGTCGAGTAGTTGAACCAAGGCACTTTTTCAGTCGGTTTGGTCTTCTTTTCTATGTCCATCACGGTCGTCGGTATGTCTTCGTTTAGCTTACCGTCCGGACTTGTACTCTGAAACGGTTTCAAATTACTTCACGCTTCCAAGGAATTTCTTAAAATACACGAGGTCCTAGACAAAAGTTGTGTCTTTTCCTCATCATATTTCGTAGGAACTCCTCAACGTAATATTAACCTGGAGGAATAATGACGTACTTTATGGACCGACGTAAAATTAATTTAAAAAACTAGCGTTTTTCTTTGTATTTTAGAAGGCATTGCTAATAACTGCCAATAGTAGCGGCTAGTTGCCTGAATGTGATTATATAATACATTAGATTAAGGGAACCGCCTAGCCGGGTGTCTTGGCCGGCGGATTTCGATCTGCCGAGGCAAGCATCACGGACGCAGGCTGGAATTTGGATGGGTGACCTAAGGCAGGCTCGGGGACGTGGCTGTGGCAGCCTACCAGAGCCCTGGGTCGCCCAACATTTGCCGTATGCGTGTGATCCCCGATAAATGGTAATGAGAACAGAGCAAAGAAAATCTCTGTAACTCAAGACCATGCTATCATACATAAAAGGTACAAGACTTTACCACCAAGCCACCCGTGTGGTAAAATAGGATGGTTTGAAGAAAAGTACTGAAGAAAAGAGTAATGAAGGAGGGTGTACAAGAGGCCTAATAAAGCCTAAGTCCATACATACATACATACATTAGATTTAATCTCAAAGAAACATCACAATTATTTCGCAAAATGTAAGGACTCAAATTTACATCAAATTCGTTGGATGAAATTAGCACAATAATAAAATTGCTTTAAAAATTGCCCGTGAACGCTATCAGTTAATTTTTTCCAATATTTTGTTTTCTATTCAAATTTTTCTTGATTGGGAAACAGAGAAATACCAAATATCCAAATACTCATCATGAAAAATGGAAATGAGCATCACTTTCAGATTTTCGAAAATTTTTTTGAAAAAACAAAAAAGTGAACAAATTAAGAATCATCAACAGTTGTAAAACTCCAAATATTTCTATGTTGTTATCAAAATAATATTATGAACGTGGAAATATCTAATTTCGTATTTGATAGGGTATTGTCCGGATTGAAAATCAACCCATAATTTCCCTAAACGGGTGAAATCATCCCCTAAAAATTCAAAAAATATATTAAAAGTTAATTTTTTTCTTTTTCTTTTATACATTGGTTGAACTTAGGGGTGGTTTTACCCTCATTTAGGAGTATTTTCCTTCGGATCTACTGATTGTGGGTTATTAACGGTTCAATTACCACGTATAAAAGAAAAGGAAAAAAAAATTATAACTTAATATACTTTTTGCATTTTTAGGCGTTTAGGGAACGATTTCACCCCTTTAGGGATATTAAGGGTTTATTTTCAATCCGGACAAGACCGTACCTATAAGAAATATAATATAAAATATGTATTCGATCACATTTTGCCATTTTTTTTCGAAAACATTGTGTTTTATGAAAAAAGTTTCTAAATTCAATGGCTTTCAAGTAGACTAATAAATTTTAAGCAATTTAAATATGCCATGAAAAATTGTCTTAGGGGGATTGCCAAAAAGCGTACCACTATCAGATTCCACATGTCATAAAACCTCTGAGTACCAAATTTAGTGATTCTCGTACAACAAGGTTCCAAGATATAAAAAAATGACTATTCCTAGGGGCGGATCCCAGGGGGCTGTAACTTTGAAAGAGGGGACCACTTCTCAAAAATAAAAAATACGGGTCCCCTAAATTTATCTTAAGAATCTGTGACCAAATTTTGTCGCATTAATTTCAGGATACCCTGTATAGGCCTTACAGCTCATCACAAAAATGAGACATTTCTTTGCGAACAGCTGCTACTATTGGCTGATACTGGTACTGCCATTCAATCCTCAGAGGAAGACGCTACAGAATTTAATATTAATCTTACGTCAGTCAGTACAGTATGTTATAATTCCTCCAGTCTGACATGGGTCTAAAGGTTTGTTTATAAGAGATCAAATAATTTCAATAGTATTACAAATTTCATTGATTTACGACAAAATTCAGAACTGTGAGATAATTAGTGGGGTTATGTAATAATCATCAAAAAAAAAATCCAAATCCTAATTTATATTTCAAAATTAGTTAAAACAAAACTCAGAAATGTAATGAATGAAAATGTAAAATGAATAGGCAACCAGCAATACATTTTTTAGATTTTATTACACAGTTTGTCTAAATATGAATTAATGCACAAATAACAGACTTTCGTCCATTATAACGCAGATTTTCTATAAAATGGACTTGGTTTGACACACAAATTACTCTTTGGTGTAAAGAAATTTGTAATTTTCTTGTTCAAAAGTGGCAAATTACAAATTTCTATGCAACAAAATGTAATTGAGTTTCAAATTAACTCCATTTTATAGAAAATCTGCGTTAGAATGGAGGAAAGTCTGTTATCTGTGCATTCATTCATAATTAGACGAACTGTGTAACAAAATCTATAAAAATGTATTACTGGTTGTCTGTTTGCTATAGAGCCCTTTTAAGAAAAGGAAGGAACAAAATTATAGAAATCATTTAGATGTAACTTAGTCTGCCAAATTAAAAATACCCAGTACAGCAGCTGTAATAATCAATTTCTTTTACAAATTTTACACTGATACGAGCTTCAGCTTAACAAAATTGTTTCACATTTTATTGTTCATCACAGAATAAATCAGAAAACCGTTTATAAAACCATTAATTTGATAGGCACAGTTCGGAGGAGACATTTTCAAATTTTAAAATGAATGCATGAAATACACAAAACAAAAACAAATCAAGCCACAATGCCACTCTAATCATTAGTTTGAATTTAATTAAAGCACAATGGGAAAAAATCACTTTTTTCTGTATTTTTCAAAAAAATATGGTTCTTTTTAAATTCATATATGCATTGCTGGGCCTTAGGAATATTATTACTCCGAGCTCTTTTTATGTGGTGCAAAAAGTGCAATAACTTCGGTATAATGTCCACATTCTTCACTACTGAACATAAAAGGTAAGTCGTAATAAAAATACCCAGTACAGCAGCTGTAAGAATTGATTTTTTTTATGCCTGGACACAGACACAACATTTTATCACTTATTCATGACATGAAATTTGTAAATTGTCACTCTAGCTATTATCTAGAAATGAAAATAGTTCTTTGTTGATAATTTTATCAACTAAAGATTTTATCGTGGTTTTAAAAGGACTTCGAGAAAACACAATCAACTTTTGTGTAAGTAGTTAGAGGATATAAAAAATAACTCACGTCTTTGAGATCATTTGGTGAAAACGACTGGGAAGGGAACACCTTCAGATTGGTGGGCGAAACGGGCTCGTCCTTGGTTTCCGGTAATGACCCGGTACCTTTGGTCGGTTTCCGTTTGACTTTCCGCTGGGCCGCCGAGATTATGGAGGAGAACAATGCGCCGTTCTTTTCTTTCTGATCCTTCAAAGCTGAAAACACATTAAAAAGCGTCGGTAACAACGAGACTTTCGTATAATCACCCTTTACCTTCATATTTGCTAATATTATGTAACAACAGAGCTTGATTATTCGCAGATTCGGACTCTTCGTAGCCATCTCGCAAGGCAAGCGGCACTGGCGCCATCTCCTCTTCGTCGTTTTCGGGAAAGAACCAATCAGCCTATGAGAAAGATTCCTAGTTTAACTCAAACGTTCGTCAAAGCTTATTATTGTAAACAAATTTTGTGTGTGCAGCCAAGAATTTTTTAAATACTTGTTATGATAAAAATAAGTGGTTTAATTGTTATTAAAATACAACACTTGTGCAATGACGACGAATTCCAATATTATTTTTACCTTTAATTGTTCTTTATTACCACAATACAGTTTTATAACTGTTTACAAATTAATTTTGCAATCAATTTTACTTTTTAAAGAGTGAAATTTGATAGATTACAATTATTTTAAAATCCCGGACTCCTTAATCGCTTCCAACACAAGGCCACACATCCAGTGCCATAAACAAGATATAGGCCGAGAGACACACGCCTACGAGTTGAATACAAAAATTTATATATTTGCAAAAAATTCTGGAAATTTTGGTAAAATCCGTATAATTTCCGAGAAAAAAAATTATTGAAGTTGTAGCATTTTGAACCTTTATATCGCTGAACTCTTGTAGTCTCCAGCGTCATTCGTGTCGTACGGTGTGAGCAATGCGCTCTCTCTCCTCATTGCTCCAAATTGTTAGTATTTATTTACGTATTTTCGATAGTGTTTACATTAGTTTTTAAAGTGTATGGCTTACGTGTATAGCAACTCGGAGTTGATGGATATTGTTTTTATTTATGGTGAAGCAAGACAACATTTGTGTCAGTTTGTAGAAACTGGGTATGACGGGCCCAAATATGTTTACACGTCAGTGGACAAGATTTTGAACAGTTGTTGTAACATCAGGCATGTCAAATTATTTTGTTAACTAGAACCACAAATTAATTTTATAAATTAATAATAATAATAATTTTATTTATTTCTTTCCTTGGGAGAGAAATTCTTTCAATTTTTTGTTCATTTTTTATTACACTTTGCCGCCGAGCCGGTCGCCGACAAGTTTCCAGTGCCGTGCAGAAGTGTATTTTTAAATCATTTTCGAACTGCCCTTTTTGATTTGTTTTAAAATTAAATAATAAATAATTAAATATAATATTGTATTTGTAAGAATCCCCTACTCATTCAAATTTTTTTTGGATAAGTTCTGAATCGCCCTGTATATTAGCTTTTTTTAATTATTTTTAATTAATTTAAATTTATTTTTTACAAATGAATACTTATGTATTTAATATTTTTTCTTAGTTGTTTTTCTGTTGTTTTTTTATTTATATTTATTCTACAGTCTTCAAAAAGTTTGGACCCCCCTCTATCTCAGAAAATACTGCTCAAACAAAAAAATGATTAGGACAAAATTTGCAGGGTTTTGAGTGAGCAATCCAACGGTGACCTTGATCACGACGTTGAAGGTCATTTAGAGGTCAAGTTGAAAATTTTAAATGGAACCATATACTTTTGACCCCGGAAATGGTAAAAACGGAAAATTTTACGTTCGAATGTGACCTTGACCATGACCTTGACTATGACTTCAAGGTCGTTTAGAGGTGAACCTGAACATTTTAAATGGAACCGTATATTTTTTACCCCGGAACGGATCTAACATATTGGACTAAAAATTTGATTTAAAAAGTTTTCAATTGACCTGCAAACGACCTCCAAGTAAGTCAAGGTCACCGTTTGATTGCTCACTTTTAACCCTAACATCTCGGTAATTTTTCTACTGATGAGAACCTTCGGAGACAGGTTGTTGGAAATACTGTGACCATTTCCGGTTCCATTTAAATTTTTAAGGTTGACCTCTGAATGACCTTGAAGGTCATGGTCAAGGTCATAATCGAACGTAAAATTTCTCGCTTTTACCATTTCCGTGGTCAAAATTATATGGTTCCATTTAAAATTTTCAATTTGACCTCTAAATGACCTTCAAGGTTATAGTCAAGGTCACCGTTGGATTGCTCGCTCAAAACCCTGCAAATTTTGTCCTAATCATTTTTTTGTTTGAGCAGTATTTTCTGAGATAGAGAGGGGGTTCCAAACTTTTTGAACACCCTGTATAATAAATCTAAACAGAAAAACAACTAAAAAAATATTAAATACATAAGTATTCCTTTTAAAAAAAGAAATTTAAATTAATTAAAAATAATTAAAAAAAGCAATATACAGGGTGGTTCAGAACTAATCCAAAAAAAATTTGAATGTACAGGGGATTCTTACAAATACAATTTTGTATTTAATTATTTATTACTGCAGTTTTATATTTTGTTGTGACTGAAGTTGGTTTATGTATTAGAATAAGTATATATTTTTTAAATTTTGATAATTTAAGTCAAACAATTCATGTTTTATTTTTATGTTTTTGTTATGTATTTAAAAATAAAATGTTTGTTTCTGAGTTTTTGTTATTTTTCGTTACACATTTAATTTAACAAGTAGGGGCGAAAAATTAAAAGTTTGCCGCATCCGGCGCGTCATCGTCTAGTGACGTCACTATCAGTGGTTTGACTAGTTCTTAACCACAAATGACACAAACTGGTGCGCGCTTTCAACTTAATACAATAATTGCTTTTCTTAATTGTCTTATTCATAACTTGAGTGCGATGTGTGTTGTTTTAATATTTCTCGGTGTTTCCGAAATTTAAATTAGGTTAAAAATTTGAGGTTAGGTAGAAAATATACTTAAGAGTTGATGTCTTAGTGCTGGACATATGTATTTTACATATTTATTTTATTTCAATGAATTTATATGTAAATAAATAAATATCCTTTCGTGTCAGTGGTTTACAGAATGACAACTGTCACCACTAATGTGACGTCACGCGCGGGGCACTGCGGCCTTATAATAAATGTAGTAATAGCCATACAAAAGTTAATTTGACTAATTGTTGAGGTACTTTTACGTGCAAATTGCTAAAAAATTTCAACTGTTACTCACATTACTTATAAGACTCTCTATAATCTTGCACTGGTTGTTCATATGGTTCACCATGTTCTCCATGTTTTCCCCCTCCGGCCTGACGATCGTTGGCCCGAAAACTATGGCCAAATTCTTGGCCTCCATCTTATTCACCTTACTGTTATCCGCTACCCTCTTCAGGTGCATGATGAGGTACTTCAGGGTGTGGTAGTTGTGTTTGGGCAAACTCCTGACAAGTCTCTTCAGCTCTTCCATCCTCAATTTGGGATCCTCGATCTTATCGGCTTTGATGAAGTTGGGATAAAGCTGATCCGTGACGAGGGACTCCGGCATTTTCCTGAAGTAGGACTTCAACAGGCTGCTGACTACGTGCAGGTCGTTCCATCTGGGATCCTCCAAGGGTACGTCGTCGTAGTTCTTGTTGATCTCTTCGGTCAGCGCAGTGATGGAAGCGTTATTCCCAGGCACACGATATATTCCCACAGTCTGAAGACCACGCTCTTCGATCACCTCGGTGCAAACCTCGACGAACCTCGGGACGTAGATGTTGGAGACGGACGGCAAACAGTCCTCTATGGGTATTCCGAATGTGGATCCCTCTGGGGCAGTGGGAGAGCTGGGGCTGTTAGCGCCTTGGTTGAACTTCCTGAACTGTTTTGCCATCCGGCCGCGCCATGTCTTTAGTTTTGGACTGGTGGTGGGATCTGGGACTTGGGAAGGCTTGCGGGTTTTGCTGACTGGCGATTGACCAGTCGGTGAGCGATTCCGGGAAGCTGTGGTCTTGGATTTGCTCAACTGCGGGGAGAGGTGACTGCCTTGGACCTGAATGGTCGTCGAGGCGGGAACCATTTGAGGCACAGCTTGCTGCTTGCTGTTTGCGGGGTCCTGCGGTAAGTGATTAATAAATCGAACTGAGGGAAACTGCAAAGGATTTTGGAAACATTGAAGTAATCGAATGACGGTTTTTATTATTAGTCCATCAAAAATATTGGACCGATTTGGATTCTAATTCATCTACAACAATGTCCAATGCAACAACAATATGTTTAAATCTTTTTGAATATCACTAAAAACTTGCAGTTTATTTATTTTTTTCTTTATTATTACGGCCAGATTTTTAATAAAGACATATTGCTATTAGGCACAAGAACAGGAGTTATTTCTTTTGGGGGTTGGCAACATTATTTAATGACTTCAATAGATATTTTTTGGTATGGAATAATGACTTCTGATTCATAGGAAATCTTTAGAATTAATCGTACCTTTAAATAAAGTAAAAATAATTGATTAACAGAATTGGGAAATGTAATTTGTAATAACACTAATAAAAGATATTGTCATCATGAAATATTAAATTTAAAGTTAAATAATCAATTATTCAAACAGATAACATAGATAGTACATTTCGGAAAAAATATTTGCGACAGAAATAACATCTACGATTAAGTAGATACTTCAAATATTAAAATCGTTTAATAAAGAAAATAGAAACTTGAATATGAAAGATAAAGAGAGTCGTTATTTAATAATCATTTAATGATTTTAACAATAGGAAAGGTAAAAAACTTAAGGATTATTAACATCCCGGAGTACAAATTAATGGAAAACAAAAAAAAAAACAAAACAAACATATATATATATATAAAAAAACAAGAGTTATCCCGAAATACAAATTAATGAAACGCAAAAAAACAGCAAAACAAATATGTAAAAACAATCACAAATAGTGAATAACAAAAACAATAATTTAAACTATGTACATTATGTTTAAAAGTAAAAAAGTGTCAAAATAAATAGATTATATGTTTGGAACAGAATACCAAATTGATTTCTGTTGTATTTATTTTATTATCTTACAGGTACATTTAAGTAAAGTGAAGATCGCCCATTCTTATTTTTTTTTGCTACAACCATTTGCCTTTAAGCGGTTTTAAAATGAAACGTTAAGGCTTTTTTATGACATCAATTGAAGACAAAATATCGAGTAATTCCACAGTTAAAAAAGACTGTCACTTACCAATTCGGCATCGGTGCTCTCGGCAACCTGCTCCTGCAACGTTTTGACCCAGTCGGCGAACTCCTCGGTGCTCTCGGCCTGCAGGAGGAACTCCGACCTGCAAGGCTTCACCGCGGACACCCTTAGAACGTTCTTCCTTTTGGTGTAGTCTTCCGCCACGCGCACGACGCTCGTCCTCATGTCCACGCCGCTCGCCAGAGAATGGTCCAGTGCATCCGAGGTGCCGATTGGGCTCTGAGAAGGAAACGTGTGGTGTGACTGGTTATCAAGATGGCGGTTATCTTATATTAGGCATACAAACAGATTATTCGAGTTATTTTAACATCGTAATCGTATTGTTTCAGTTTGAGGAGCGATTAAATCTGGAGATAAATACAATTCGACTTAGCGATAGGCAAATAGTGGGTACCGATTCTTGCAAATGATAGTGAAAACGGCGGATTTTGAAATAAACGATTTTGACTGCATTATTCTTTAATGTGAAGTGCTGGACTACTAAAAAAAATTGCATATGTACTTTGTAGTAGGTTTAGGAAAATACAAATTGTACTTAATTGTACTTACATGTGTATTTAAAACAAATTACAGTTGCTGCATTATGAAAATACACGGTTATATACACAGAATAAACATATGAATGATGCAGGTCACAAACTTTTAATTTAAGATAGCATAGCTCAATAAAAATAATAAATATTTTGACGAAATATTGACGATATACTAAACTGAGATCAAAGAAATTATATCGAAATATTAAATTATAATAGAAATGACGCGTGTAGATATAACACTATAAAGAACGCTAAATTTATTTCATTATCATAAAATTTTATCAACAGTTTCATAACTGTCGGCAAATGCCTAAAAATATACATAAATTACTTTAACTACTGTATTTTGATTGATAACATTCCAATTTGTCAATGTTATTCGATCGACGTCGATATTTACTATATTTATATTTTTTATCACGACCAGCTATAGTCCAGACGGTATTTGTTTCAAAGAGTCCATATTTGGGTGAATCGTATATCCACGGAGATTTTTGGCTTTTTGGCTTTCAAATATCACTAGAAATGAAAATTTTTCTATGCGCATAAAAAAAACCTGGACTTACTTTTTGGCGGCACAATATGTTAAAAAAATTCGAAAAATGTCATATTTTTCTTCCTATTTAATTATGTATCTTTTCAAGAGTTGATTTTAGGCGAAAATGGAAGAGGAAAAAAATGTTTGTAATTAAATTTTACAAAATATGACTAGTTACAAATCGAATGAATCATGGTTATTATTGTAAAAATCGAAAAAATCGCCAAAAATTGGGTTAAAAACATTATTTCTTAGGGAATTTGTTTGGGGTCTTAAAGTTGGGTATAGGACCTTCATACTTAGCTGAAGAAAAGTTCATGTCATGTAGAATCATCACACCGAATTTCATCAAAATCGGTTCTATAGATTTTGCATAATATTTTGCATTCCAGATTTTGAAAAAAAATTGAAAAATTTTCAAAATTTTGCACAGCAAATACCAAGGCCCTTAGATACTTGAAAATTTAATCACATATAGAAGGGCTCTCAAGCTTTCAAACGCTTTTTGAAAAATTCGAATCCGTCAATTAGAAGTGCTCTGGCGCTTGTTTAAACATTGGTCGAATTTTTGTACTACAATTTTGTATTTTTGTAATATAATGACCTAATTTCTCATTTGCTTTTGTTTTAAACAGTAAATAATATTTGAATTATACTTTAATCACAAAAGAAATGATGATTAAATTATTAATTAATTAATTAATTAATTATTATTTAATCATTAATTAATTAATTAATCATCATCATTAATTAATTAATTAATTAATTACGACATATTTTGAAAATAATTTTAGAATATTTAAATACATTTGTTTTTGATCCTTGATAAACAATATATAAGTTTATGCACTTACCTTTGATAGAACAAAAAAATAAACTTGATAATTAAAGGAAGTTTAAAGATACATAATTATCGGACTACTGAAAGACCAATAATTATTAACGATAGGCACTTGAAAATATGCTAAATGTTTTTTTTAAATCGCGACATCGATTTAAAAAAAAAATCAAAATCGTACCTCTAGAAGTCTAGAAGCTGAGATATTAAAAATTTTTTAAGCGCGTCGCGGTTTTGAACTCGCCGATTGACTTTCGAGCAGGCCGAAGCGGGCGCGCTCTCTGCTTCCCCCATCACCACCACCCGTACGATTTTATAGAATTTCTCGCTTGCATAAATAACTTTAAATTTGTTTTAAAGTAGGTTGCCAATGAAGAAAAGTATTGCAAACTTAGACCTGGTAAGAACTCGGAATACCGAAGGTATTTTTCGAAAAATTAGCCCGGATGTCCCAGTACATTTAGTGTAAATGACGGTTAACTTATGATCGGCTATAACTACGTAACTAATTGACCAACCGATCTGTTTTTTTTTTAAGAAGCGTCTTTCCAATAACTTTTAAAACCAGCTTTAAAAAATTGGATTTGATTGAATATTCACAAAGTTATTCTAATTGTTTATAAGTACAAAAATTCGACCAATGTCTAAACAAGCGCCAGAGCTCTCCTAATTGACGTATTCGAATTTTTCAAAAAGCGTTTGAAAGCTTGAGAGCCCTTCTATATGTGATTAAATTTTGAAGTATATAAGGGCCTTGGTTTTTGCTGTGCTAAATTTTGAAAATTTGCTAATTTTTTTCAAAATCTGGAATGCAAAATTATTATGCAAAATCTATTGAATCGACTTTGATGAAATTTGGTGTGATGATTCTACATAACATGAACTTTTCTTGAGCCAAGTATAAAGGTCCTATACCCAACTTAAAGACCCCAAAAAAATTCCCTAAAAATAATGTTTTTTAACCCAATTTTTGGCGATTTTTTCGATTTTTACAATAATAATCATGATTCATTCGATTTGTAACTAGTCATATTTTGTAAAATTTAATTACAAACATTTTTTTCCTCTTCCATTTTCGCCTAAAATCAACTCTTGAGAAGATACATAATAGGAAGAAAAACATGACATTCTTCGAATTTTTTAAACATATTGTGCTGCCATAAGTTAAGCCCACGTTTTTTTATGCGCATAGAAAAATTTTCATTCCCAGTGAAAGCCATAAAGCCAAAAATCTCCGTGGATATACGTTTCACCCAAACCAAAACATATACCGCCTAGTCTACTAGGCCTCGGTTGCCACACATCAAGATCCCAAATCCGTAGACATTGTCATTTAAATATACATAAATCCAGTAGAAATTGAAAAATGTTTATATTCAATTCACCGTTGACTTATCCAACATGCCTAAGGTACTCCCGATAATGTATATTTATTCAAAAATCAGGCATGCCTCAAGGTTTAATACTTGGCCCACTGTTTCTCATTCTCTTCATTAATTATATTGCGAATAATTTTAATGGACTTATTTCTGACTAGGTATGAAACGATCAGTTTTAAGAGAAAAATTACGTACTCTGTAATATGTTATTACGAAATTGTTAAGGACAATATTGGTGGCGTTACACTTACATTAATTAACGTGTTACTGGACTGAATGATCTAATAATTTTTCTTTTAACAGTTATTGAAAGATTTTTCGGTTTTCATAGTGAAGATCTTCTCTTTGTTTTTTGATTTTCTTCTTTTTTTTGTTTGTCAAAATTTATTCTTGTGCTGGTTTTTATTCATTGGTAATTGTCGGTGTGTGTTACAAATCACACTACAGGAATCTCGAAAACGGTGAGAGATTCAAACTAGCTTAAACGGGGGCAAAGTTGCGTAATCAGAGGACCAACATTATGCCTCTAAACAATCAAATCTAACATGATTAATTTCCGAAATATTTGAAAAAAAAACCGAAATTTTGGAAATCCGTTTTTGTTTCATTTCAGCCTTGTTGGAGGTGATATTTAAAAAAGAAGAACACTTTCTCATGGTCACTCTTTGCCCTCTATCGAATGGCATAATCAATCTTTATATGTAACTTTTCATCTCTCCTGGACTATCATCAACTTCACTTTTTTAAATACGGCCCTGGAAATTTGATTTCATTTTTTGCAAAATTCCAAAATTTAGTTTTTTTTTCGAATATTTCGAAAACTAATCATGTTAGCCGTGATTTTTTAGAGACATAATGTTGATCCTCTGATTATGCAACTTTGCCCCCATTTAAGCTACTATCTTATACTTCGTATCTCTTACCGTTTCCGAGATCCCAATAGTGAGAAGCGAATTTGTAACAGCCCGTATATTTTTAACATCTGTATGTGGTTTGTATGTTGTTATTTTTTATTACTATTTGACTATTTATGTTATTTTATTCTGTTGTTTATTCATTCTAACATAATTATCTCAATTAAATATAATTATCTATGAATTTTTAAATACCTACATTCGACAAAAAAATTTACAAATTTTTTTAGTGACTCCTCGTATCGTATCGAGAAAAAAAGAAGCATCTTGAAGCTTGAAGATTTTAGTTTTAAAATAATATAATATATAATATTTTAAATGGAATATTTGGAATGTCGAGAAAAAAAAAATGGATTTTTTCAAATTTTCAATTTTTTTTCCTTCGATATTTGATGAATATTTCACGCGAAATTATGAGAAAAATAACGAAAAAAATGTGTTTCATCTTAATCGTCAATTGATGTTTAAGGACCAAAAAATGTGCTCCTTTAAATTTTAAAAAAACTGACGAGTCAGGAAAGGAAAACGGTATGTATTGAGCTAAAAAAACATACAACTATTGTATCTGTATTGTTTTAGTATCTGACAGGTAAAATATGTTTTATTACTTCGTCTTGAACAAATGACCGTTCTAGAAAATGGCAATTGACTGAACGATCATATATTTACCAATAATGTTTATTTTTCAATTTACTTTTGAATGCATCTGACTATGTTATGAGTAATACTAATATTTACAGTTGCTATCTATGTTTGTGAGACATTTAAAGAAAATTTGGAAATGCAATTAATTTATTTAAAAAGTTTTTGGTTCTACTGATTAGTCCAACGTAAGGATCTCAGGACATCACATCACTTCAGTCCAAGTTTATTAAAGCTATTCTCAACACAAACTGAAATTTATAGTCGTGTCGCGTTATGGTATTCAAGGTAACTAATTGATAGTACTCGCGTTGACATATGAAGCCAAAATGATATACTGAAGTTACATTAGAATTCAAAATGAAATAACGA